AGAATTGTACACTTGAAACAAATAATTTTACTAACCAATGACGCCCCAATAAATTTAATAAAGTCTTTGAAAAAGAAACAAAAAAGGTTTTAAGTAGTTAATGACATGATCAGATCTGAGCTTGGGAAAGGAAAGATAGTTCTGTCTCCAGAACAAACAGGAAGTTTGTTTTTTATTTAAAAGAAAGATCTGGAGTTACAGTTCTAAAAAAATATGTTTCTAAGTTGATTAAAAAAATCAAATTCATCTTAGAACAAGTTTAAAAATAGGCAATATTTTTTTAAACTAAATCCTTATTGTAAAGGTGTTTCTATGTTATCTCAAGAACAAATACACTTATAAATTACTTTATTATAGGTATGTATTATACAGAAAAGCAGTATATATATATATATATATATATATATATATAGTTCAGCACTATCTGTGGTTTCATGCGTCCACTCCCCAGGGGGTCTTGGCACATATCCCCCACAAGGGGAACTACTGTAATGCCGTGTCATGTAAACGGCACGCCTATTGACCCACTTGCTCAAGCCCAAAACCTAGATGTCGTCTATGACCTCTTTCCCTCACAACCCACACCCAGTCCAATCTAGAGTCATGTGGAGTAAAACCTAGAATCACATAGTTGAGCCAGACCAGGATTCAGGTACAATGAGCCCTTGGATGGGACTCTGCTCTCATGGTGGAGTGTTTCCCTAGCCACTTTGAGTACATCTCATTTTGCCAGTACAGTTTCACATACTGTTACGGTAAAAAGAATTCCTTTTCTTTTCAGAACTCTCCAGAGAAATTGGTTTTGCACACCCCCTGCTCAAGGAAAAAAAAAACAAATCCTGAAAGGATGATTTACAGATGTGAAGCATTAGACTTTAAAATGGTGACATTTTGGTGACATTGGGCTGATTGGTGCCTGATTTGGGCTGTGGGACAAAGAAAATGGTAGATATGTGGACTCTGGAGTTAGTGGTAGAGGCCAGAGGCAAGTCCTCACTCCACGAGGACAACTTCGTCTTAAGTTCATTTTCTTTTCCTTTAAATTCCTGATGTCAACACTTTATATGATGATAGATTATTTACCTCCCAGATATCCTTTCCTGGCACAGAACACTTTCCAAGTCTTTTAAAGAGGGTCATTCAACCCTGACCATAACAGATGCCCAAATGTATCTTTATTCTCTGCAATGCCTCTAGTATCTATGCACTACACAGAGCATTTTACCACTTATCAAAATATTTCACTGGCCTGACAAATATTTAGTGCAGAAAGTACAGTTTTATTTTCTTCCTGTTCATATATAGAGATTACTGTTTTCACATTCAGAATTCTCCAGAGCTCGGGAGTTCTTAACCTGACCTTTGGGAGTCTGTGAACCNCACATTAACTTTATTTTTGATAAACTATTTGCTTAAGGGAAAAACAAACTCTGAAAACATACATGTAAAAAGTTTTAGTATAGATGAATCTTAATTAGCCACTGTTAGTTTTCAAATACTTTCAGTAACTGGTCTATAAGAACAATGTTCAACAGATATTGCTTTGACTCTTATGAAACAAACATTTTAACAATATCTCCCTTTATTACCACAAATACGCATTGTTCAGAAGGCATACTTTTTATAAATAAGCACTCAAATTTCATAGTATGAAATTGCATTATGGTCATACTTCTAAAATTGTCTAATGTTCATGTCACACGAATGTGCCAAAATCCCTTATGGCCATATATTCAGTTTTTTTGGTAAAGGTTTAGAAAAATTTAAGTTTAAGCAAAAAGCCAATTTATGATAAAAGCTCTAAGTACAAAGTAGTAACAATATCAATTTTAAAGATTCTATTTTCTTTCTGAAGAACATGACCATTACCATGCAAGCCTTCTATCTCTACAATCAAATTTCTGCTTCTTTCACTCAATTAAAAGCCCATTCCAAAAACTGATATTTAGATAGACATTGAGAGAGATATTGCCAAACTGCCCTTAGAGAAGATTAAACACATTTATATTTCCACAAACAACGAACAAGGTTTCCTCACACTCTTAGCTCTTTAATCTTTCAGAGCTTGGCTCATAGCTATTTTCTCTTAAAGCAGAGGGTGTATATAGCTTTACAACATCAAGTGCAGCGTAAGGCTCTGACCACTGTACAGAACTGGCTGGGAACGACAGCCTAAAGCAGCCATCTTTCCAATGACTGCCTAACGCCCCAGAAAATCAACGCCTTCATTACTGTTTGCACTGGGATCATTGAAAACATAACCTAAGATCTGCGTCTCTGGTGTGACTGGAACCCACCCAGAACTGCTCTCCTCAGTCTCACCTCATCTCTGACTGACGTGCACCAGTTTGCTCATGGGATGGAAGGAACACATGGCACCACTTCATGAATGGGTCCCAGAGTCTCAGGCCACCTGTTTTTGCTTTCCCCCATATAAACTTCACATATTTCTCCTCAAATAATTTACATATAATCAATATTAAAATTGCATGTTTATTATTACAGAGTGCTTAAATGTCCTCATTCGTAATTAATTTTCCCAAGAAAGATTGTTAAGTATTCTTCTTAACATCCCTCTCTAGTATGAAGCAACATTCCAAAATACTAAGTTTGCATCCCCAGGAAAAACACACACATACTCCGTTACAGAATCATGTGGTTTCTTTTGGATAAAGAACGTTTTTCAAGGGTTTTTCAATACATGCACGAGAAAAAGCAAAAAGCAAAATAAGCCATAAAAACAGATTTTTATACCTGCGGACTAACTTTAAAAGCTGTCATTAAAAAAAGCATCCAAAACTCAGAAATAAGGCAAAAGGCTGAGTGAGGGGGCAGTTCCTTTAAATTTCATATGAGGGCAAAGGTCATCCAAGAATGGTCTGAGGAAATGCATTTAGTTCAACTTGCTGTTTCCTATTGATTAAGGTCCCAAACAATGAAGTTACATGTTATCTTGTAGGATTTTCTTTGGGAAATATTCAAATAATGTGTGTCTGGTAAAATAATCCAATGGTTACAGTTTAAATCCTTGTTGGGAATTAATCACTTTTATATCTAATCTATGAATCTTATTTTCACTTTACCTAAAAACACCCAGTTTTCAAATGCTCTTTGGACTAGTATTAACATTTAACTAATTTGCTCATTAATTATGCACTGAATGAAATCTTTATTGTATCTTTATTTTAAATTTGTATGAGAGTCATAATTGTGCCTTTAAAACCATACTTGGGCAAAGCAAGACACAAATATACCACATGTTTAAAAGTTCAGATGTGCCAAATTTTTTTTCAAATATTCAAGGTGTTATTTCATGGGAAATTTAGCATTAGTATACGAAAAAAATCTATTCTTATGTAGCGTTAATTAAAAACACTTCATTCACTGTCATTTTTCAGTGAGGAGACTGGCAGGAATCACCAAACGACTATTTTATCAGCATTTCCAAACTTTTCAAGAAGTAGAATTTTTTCTNTATTATTCAACATCAGCTTCAGAAATACAATGCGGTGGTCAGGCCTCTACATCAACTATGAAGTGGACTCCCCAACAGGACATGGGTCCTTGACAAATTATTTTATCATTAATGAATTTAAATGTCAAACTCTTATAGTAAAAGTCATACTGTCATTAACTAATTGATTTTGTTTCGTACAAAAACCTTTAAAGGGGGGGAAGTGGCAAGTTACATTTTAGTCAGTAGGAAACTTGAGGCAGGAATGGTAAGGAAATTCCACATGTAAGGTATGATGTAGTTTTAAATTAAACATCTTTTAAGAGGCTAAAGAGATTGAGAAGAAACCAAGTAGGTGGCAAAGACATTAGATAATCCTAATTATTTCTGTTCTGACACTAAATTTAATCTATTAACTGGCAAAGAAATCATTATCCTGGAAGTTAAGAAAATGTGGGGCAGTCGTTTTATCCCCAAGCTTAAATTTATCTTAGAGATGAATAAGTGGGGAAAAAAAAGAACACAAGCAGACATTGGTTTTTGTTTCTGCCATAAACTAAGCAAGCCAAGTGTAAGAAGTATCAACACAGAAATGTAAACCTATACTTTTAAAACTCCAGGGTACTTTTCTGTGTCAATCAGCAAACTCAAAGCAGTGCGGGAAACCAGCAGAGAGAGAATGAAACACAGGAAGGAGCTACAAGCGTTAGTGGAATTTTTGAGCAACATAAATTTCAGCTTGATATCGTTGGGAGTATGTGTAGTGTATATAAACCCACAGACACATACGTGGATTCACCCATATTCAGAGATTAGCAAAGAAGAAATGGAATCAAGACTAGCGGCCGCTGTAGTCAGACTCAGTATCAATATCTGGTTTTTAGTGATTTCTGTGACAGGGATGAAACTCTCAAGGCTCGGGGGACACACTTTTAAAGGCATAACATTTATTCCTGCTCTTTATAATATGTGTTGTTCCCATAATGGAACCGGATCTTCTGGAAAGGAAGTATTCTCTACTTCTCATCATCGATGTGTACCCAGGATTGTGCAGGACAGCTGACTTATGTGGTTTGATTCTAGAAAGATGGTCTCACAGGTGAAGCAGATAAAGACGAGGATAACCAAAAGCCTGAAACGAGCTCCCAAATTACAGAGAATAGTTATATGTTTAAATCCTACTTCCCACCCAAGTGTGTTTTGGTGCTTACTTTTAACGACAAGCCTAAGATGACACGAAGGAGACTTGCCTCAAAACTTTTACTATTTTATTATTCAATCCTAATACTGCTGTCATGTTTAAACGACAGTTTGCATTCGCAACCTGTCTACCAAATGAAGAATCATTTAATTTTTTCCAAATATAGTGCACTGTTTTAAATTCCAAAGGTTACCACGAAGGCTGGCCAAAAGCATCTGCAGCCTCATTTATGCTGTCAGAGGGGAGCATGGGGGGCAGCCGCTTACCTCCAGGGTGAAGGACAGCACCACGTCAGACTTGGACAGCTGGATCTCATTCTCATCGCCTATGTCCAGGAATGCAGAATTCTGCGACCGTTTTAATTTTTGTAGTTTAAACTCTGGACCACCTTTCGAAACTGGAAGGCTTTCCAAATTGGCCATTAGCAAATTCACCGAAGACCGCAGCTCCTCTATGTACATCGTCTCCATTTCTTTTGCTATAAATTTGGGGAATTTTCTTTCCTGGAAAGTAAGTTTTAAAATAACAACGTTACACAAGTCATATTTTCAGTTTAACATAAAATATTACGCTATGTATCTACTTGACGCTTAGAGGTTGTGACACTCAATGTAATGCATCTACCAGGTACTTTAGTCTCTAGATGCTAACAGGCTCAGGCTTGGAGAATTTTCATTATATCTGAAGGTAGCTTATATACCTTACTGAGGATCACTATGTACAAAATAAATNGTTCGTACTGTATATAGAAAACAGTAAAAACTGTATGTAAAACAACATATAATTGCCACAAGAAAGCTACTGGTCAAGTACTGTGGGAACTCAATGAGGGAAGACATGTTTTTTCCTAGTTGATAATATCAGGATGGATTTTTGAGGCTGGAAACATTAAAAATGAAGTCTGAGGAAGAGAAAATGTTGACCGGATGCAGAGGTCTATGAGTGTTAACTTGCAAACTGAAACCCTAGGTTCTCCTTGCCCCATTCCTCTTCTGTTCCACAGAAGCAGCTCTGTGAAAAGAGAAGTTGTAAGATCCTCACAAATCTCCCTTAGCAGAAGTCCTGGGGAGAACGGAAGCCCATGTTGGTGGCCAACTATCTTACAGTAAAAACATTTTTAAACACAGCACAAAAATAACTTTACCACATCTCGCCTAACAGCTCCATGTTATAATTTGTAATATTCTTCTAGGGCTTCAAAAATTACAAACATCAAATACTTGAATTCAATAAATCTGCTCATATCTTAAAGAAAAATGAGCCCTCAAAAAAGTGTTTTTGACAGTACTGTTGAGCATCATTGCCCTCTCTGATTAATCTATTTTCTAGAACCAGGGTAATTGTCTTCAGATTAATATTGTCAATCACTAGAAAGAGGGATTAATAGCTGTGTTTTTCCATAATTATGCCTTTGTATGTGCTAACCCTAATCAACTGGGCCCTTCTTTCTCCCACTGAAAAAAATCAATTTGTTTTCTCTGAGACCTCATCCCAATTACTGCATAACTTTTCAGACATATTATATTCTGTTATTTATTGTAATATTTGTCTTTATCCTTTAACATGAAAAATACAAGTAGACTAGGATTTGCACAGTTTTGTAAATTTAGCATTTTCCATAAGATTAATTCATATGTCTGTCCATTGTACTTATATTATCTATAAACCTGATGAGTTATAGATAACCCATCATGAGAAATAACCAGCACAAACTTAACACTGATTCCAAAAGAACACTCCACCCAACACTTTATAATTTTCTAGTAGCCCAGTGTTTGATTTGACAGTGCCAATTATGCATGGGATTTCCAACAGGGTCTCAAAAAACTGATCAAAAGCTTTAAGTATTAGCAAATTACATTATCAATATATCTTTTAATTCTCCATCACTTGAATCACAAACTATTTATCATAAAGAGAGTGCAACTCTACCCTACTGGCTCTGATGGTGCCTGCTCTGTTTTCTATGCTGACCCGCCCACTCTCTCAGCCCACAGGCCACAAGGTTGGTCCTTGGCTGTTCTAGGCTCCAGGGTGTCTGCAGTCCTTTCTCAATACAATGTTATAAAGGCCTCTCTCCTGAGTTCCAGCTCTTTATCTCCAATTGAGGGCAAAACATTTCCTTTCAGGCATGACCTCAAACTAAAACTGAACTCATTTTCTTTACCATCCACTCCTCAGCCTGGCTCCATTTCTACATAGGATTCTGATCACCCTTGATTAGGCTAAAATCTCAGAGGGAGCGAGGGAGGGGAGGGAGGAATGGAGATGAAAGAAAGGAGAGGAGGGAACACATGAACGAGACTAAATGAATATGAATGAGAGAGATGATACCCAAATGCCTTAAGCCTAGTATTCAGGTCCTCCCATATTTTATACCAATCTAACTTTCTAACCTCTTGGATAATTCCATTTTCTATACAAATTAGTTTTTTTTCATTGCTTACTAAACATGGTACATCTCCCAATCATATATTTTGCTTGTGTTTCTCCTGCCTGGGATTTATTTCTTACCTACCTTCATTATCCAGCTCAATCTTCAAATCTTCTGAGAAGACTGCCTAACCAATCATTTAGTAACAACGCATGTGCTATCTGATAACATAGCTTCCATAGTTGTCTTATTACTGTTGAACTTTTCAGATACTTATGACTTCTACCTCAAACTACAATTATTTCCCTTGTTAG